CAAAGAAGAGGGGGTCCCCAATTAGCGTTGCCCCTCTAGAGTGCCTCGAGTCGCCTCTTGGGCCCCCCAAGAGGCCAAAATCCTTCCAAAACCTAGGTAAAATCAATGTTTTTTGCTTTCTCGCCTTTTCGCTCTTGGAGCCGTCTTGGGCCATCTTGGACTCTCTTGGGGCCTCTTGGGGGTCTCTTGGCAGCCTCTTGGAGGCTTCTTGGGGGCCTCTTGGGGTCTCTTGGGGCCCTCTTGGGGCGCTCTTGGGGCGCTCTTGGGAGCCTTCGGGGCGCTCTTGGGGCCATCTTGGAGGAGATCTATCAAAGAAGGGGGGAGCCTCAATTAGGCTCGCCCCTCTAGAGTGCCTCGGATCGCCTCTTGGGCCCCCCCAAGAGGCCAAAATCCTTCCAAAACCTAAGGAAAATCAATGTTTTGTGCTTTCTCGCCTTTTCGCTCTTGGAGCAGTCTTGGGCCATCTTGGGCGTCCCAACGCGTCGCGGAACGCCCCGTCCAGGTCAGTGGGGAGGGGTAAGGGGAGGGGTAAACCCCTCCCCGAAGGGAAAGAAGGGGGGTTGGCAGAGGAAACTCTCTAGACCACCTACGCCCTAAAGGGCTGGTGGGATTATATGGCGATGTCGGTGCCCGGGGAGAAGTTATATGGCGATTTCTGATGCGGATGAGGAGGGGGAGGAGGATGAGGAGCAGGATGAGGAGGAGGATGAAGGAGGAGGAGGAGGAAGGAGGAGGAGGGAGGGAGGAGGAGGAGGAAGAGGAGGAGGAGGAGGAGGAGGAGGAGGAGGATGACGAGGACGAGGAAGGAGGAGGAGGAGGAGGTTTGTGGGAATATTTTGGAGTCTCTTGGAGCATATTGGAGCTTTTTTAAAAACCCTTTTGGGGCCTCTTGGGGCTTTTTGGGCGCCTCTTGGAGTTTCCCGGAGGGGATGGAAGAGACATCGGCAGCTGAGGAGGGGGATATCAGGAGGAGGAGGAGGAGGATGACGAGGAATTGGAGGAAGGAAAAGAGGGAGGAGGAATGGAGGAGAAATCTGCAGCTGAGGAGGAAGAGGAGGAGGAGGAGGGACGAGGAGGAGGAGGAGGAGGAAGAAAAGGAGGAGGATGAGGAAGAGGTCGGAGGAGGAAAAGGAGGATGAGGAGGAGGAGGAGGAGGAGGAGGAGGAGGAGGAGGAGGAAGAGGAGGGAGGCAGGAGGAGTAGGAGGATGGGAAGGAGGAGGAGGAGGAGAAGGAGGATGAGGAAGAACAAAGGGGAGGAGGAGGAGGAGGAGGAGGACGAGGAGGAAGAGGAGGAGGAGGAGGAGGACAATGGCGAGCTTGGGGGGCCTCTTCGGAAAGAGAGTTTTGAGGTTCCTTGGGAGCTTGGGGCGCTCTTGGGGCGCTCTTGGGAGCTTTCCAAGCGCTCTTGGAGCCATCTTGGAGGGGATGAATCAAAGAAGGGGAGTCGCTCATTAGCGCTGCCCCTGTAGAGTGCCTCGAATCGCCTCGTGGACTCCACCTAGGCAATATTGGAGCGCTCCTGGGCGCTCTTGGGGCCGTCTTGGAGGTCTCTTGGGCTTCTCTCGGTGCCTTCTTGGGCCATCTTGGAGCCATCTTCAGGCCTCGGATGGCCATCGGAAGCGAAAAAGCGAGAAAGCAAAACACGCTGATTTTTCTAAAGTTTTGGATGGATTTTGGCATCTTGGGAGTCTCTTGGGATCATCCTGGAAGCCTCTGGGGCGCTTCTTGGAGCCTCTTTGGGCGAGCGGGGGAGCATGCAGAAGAACAAAGGGCGGGGTGAGCCGCCATATACCCCAAGAGGGGGAGGATGTAGGAGGAGCCGTCGTCGTCGGAGTAGGAGGAGGAAAAGGAGGAGCAGGAGGAGGAGCAGGAGGAGGAGGAGGAGGAAGATAAGGAGGAGGAGATGGAGGACTGCGAGGACGAGGGGGACGAGAAGGAGGAAAAGGAAAAGGAGGAGGAGGAGGAGGAGGAGGGGGAGGGGGAGGAGGGAGGAGGAAGAAAAAGAGGAGGAGGAGGAGGACAATGGCGAGCTTGGGGGCCTCTTGGGCCGTCTTTGGAGCCTCTTGGCGGTCCCGGGGGCCTCTTGCGTATCTCGGGGAGCCTCTTGTGGCCTCTTGGGGGTCTCTTGGAGGCCTCTTGGGGGCCTCTTGGGGCCTCTTGGGGCTCTCTTGGGGCGCTCTTGGGGCGCTCTTGGGAGCCTTCGAGGCGCTCTTGGGGCCATCTTGGAGGAGATCTATCAAAGAAGGGGGGGTCCTCAATTAGCGCTGCCCCTCTAGAGTGCCTCGAATCGCTTCTTGGGCCCTTCTTGAGGCCAAAATCGTTCCAAAACCTAGGTAAAATCAATGTTTTGTGTTTTCTCGCCTTTTCGCTCTTGGAGCCGTCTTGGGCCGTCTTGGGAGCCTTTTGCGCCTCTTGGAGGTCTCTTGGGAGCCTTTTGGAGGCCTCTTGGGCGCCTCTTGGGGCTTCCTGGGGCGCTCTTGGGGCGCTCTTGGGGCGCTCTTGGAAGCCTTCGGGGCGCTCTTGGGGCCATCTTGGAGGAGATCGATCAAAGAAGAGGGGGTCCCCAATTAGCGTTGCCCCTCTAGAGTGCCTCGAGTCGCCTCTTGGGCCCCCCAAGAGGCCAAAATCCTTCCAAAACCTAGGTAAAATCATTGTTTGTTGCTTTCTCGCCTTTTCGCTCTTGGAGCCGTCTTGGGCCATCTTGAACTCTCTTGGGGCCTCTTGGGGGTCTCTTGGCAGCCTCTTAGAGGCTTCTTGGGGGCCTCTTGGGGTCTCTCGGGGCCCTCTTGGGGCGCTCTTGGGGCGCTCTTGGGAGCCTTCGGGGCGCTCTTGGGGCCATCTTGGAGGAGATCTATCAAAGAAGGGGGGAGCTCCAATTAGGGTTGCCCCTCTAGAGTGCCTCGAAGCGCCTCTTGGGCCCCCCCAAGAGGCCAAAATCCTTCCAAAACCTAGGTAGAATCAATGTTTTGTGCTTTCTCGCTTTTTCGCTCTTGGAGCCGTCTTGAGCCATCTTGGGCGCCCTGACACCTCGCGAGACGCCTCGTCCAGGTCAGTGGGGAGGGGTAAGGGGAGGGGTAAACCCCTCCCCGAAGGGGAAGAAGGGGGGTTGGCAGAGGAAACTCCCTAGACCACCTACGCCCTAAAGGGCTGGTGGGATTAAGAGTTCACGGGGGCGAGCGCAGACGGTCAAATCGCATACATTTGGAAATCTGATGTTGCAACACCGTGTTTTTTAAGCGTTTCGGGACACAACCTATGCGGTGTAATCTACGTGGTGCAACCATGGAATTGCAATCTATATGGTGCAAGTTGTGATGCCATGTCTGTGGTGCAACCTGCGCATTGCAATCGTTTCCGTCAACCGTTGAGTTGTCAACTCCACAGCTCGCGAAATTATCCCACCCTGCTGCCAGCAACTTGGTCTACAAAACCCACGCGGCGGCGGTTGCGATGACTGCTTGGCGCTGACGGGCGCATCCCGTCGGCCGCATAGGCGCACAGGCTCGCGCGCAAACCCCCTTTAATTTGGCGCAGCCGAGGCGGCCGCAGTGGTGTTCATTAGAGGGGACTTCCAAGTGCGTCTCACAGGCCGCGCTGTCGCGCTGACATGTCAGTGCAAGTCGGTGACTCGGGCAGGAACGGTATCGTCAAGACGTCGGTAATGGCGAAGACGAAGATAGCAGCAACGATGATGGTGGCGATGTTGGCGATGACGACGACAATGCAAATGACGGCGCCGCTGTTGGTCGCGCCGATGACGATGAGGTGACATGGCGTCCATGACGGAGTAACGATGGTGCGGCGACGTCGGCTACATAACCGCCAAGCAGACACCGCCACCCAGCGACGAGGCGGCGACGAGGCGGTCACGGCGGCTACGTAGCCGCCAGGCCGACACCGCCGTCCAGCGATGAGGCGGCCACGGGGCGGTGATACCGCCGCCCAGCGACGAGGCGACGAGAGGGCGGCGACGGGGTGGTCACGGCGGCTACATAGCCGCCAAGCCGACACCGCCGCCCAGCGACGAGGCGGCGACGGGGCGGCTACATGGCCACCAGACCGACACCGCCGCCCAGCGACGAGGCGGCGACGGGGCGGCGACGGGACGGCGACGGCGGCTACATAACCGCGAGACCGACACCGCCGCCAGGCCATGAG